AACTCAAGATCCTCCTGCCTCAGCCTCCCGAGCCCCAGGGATTATAGGTGTGCACTACCACACCCGGCTCTACCAGTAGCTCTTTCTACTTGGGGCCTGGTCATTAGCTTGAGTTTCTTTCTTTCTCTTTCTCTCTCTCTCTCTTTTAATCAAAGAATAACTGAAGATTCAGTGTCATTAATTTGTGTGTGAAGCAAGGTGGCTGTCTTTTGGTCAAGTTTAGTTCAGCAGCACCAATTTCTACCCGATGAACATATAGGTTCCCAGTACCTCTCAGAATAGGGGGAAACAAACAATAATAGCCACCAATGCAAACAATATACCGTATTAAACTAAATACTTGGTTCCTACTGTGACATCTACAATGTTAATTACCCCCCCCCACACACACACACACAAAAAAAAACCCGAAATAGTAGGGTCAGCAATTGCCAACAGCAAAAAACAAAAAGTAACCGTGAACTATATCTGAACTTAAAGCAAACTACAGGTGTCAACTGTCATTCATAGCAGTAATAATTACCACAGCATTAATGGTGGGGACAGGAGTTATATAAACCAATTATGCTAAAAGATGGTAAGAATATAGTTAAAAGAAAATAAAATGTGATAGGAAGGTAGAAAAGAGTTCACAATTTTAAAAAGTAAACAAAATGTAGAAGAGATGTTGGATGTGATGGTTATAAGGAAGGAGGAGTCAAAAAAGATGTTAAAAAGTGAAAGGAAGAGCAAAACAGCAAACAATAGAATTTGACTATTAGCAGAAAAGAAAAACAAACAAATGAAAAATAAAACAGAACAAATAAGCACAGTGAAAACACACAGAGAACAAAGGAAAGAATGATTCTTAGTGAAAAATTAAGGAATCATTTCCACTGAGGTGGCCAAATTAGTCAAAAAGAATAGATGGACACTGTCTATGCCTGAGTGTCTTTCTTTCAGTTTTTTCTTGGACAATGTAGTGAGAGTGAGAGCAAGGGCTAGGGGTACTTAACCCTTTTTTGTCTTAATGTGTTGCTCACCAGGCTGCCAGTTGGTGTAGCCTAAGACTGAAGCTGGTTCAAATAACTCTCAGTTTCTCTTCTCCACAGTAGGATGGGAGGGGAAGTACTGTCAATTGGAATTTTGTCTCCACAGACCAGATTTATGCACTCCCAGGGTGGGACACTGTGGAGTTCCAGCAGTTTGGGCTCAAGTCTAATCAGGCCGCAGGGGCTGCCTGGTAATTGCCAATCTCTGCTGGGAGTCTGAATCTCAGGAGCCTCCCAAGGATTCTACTTGGGAACAGGGCAGGGAAGCCAATATCTCACCCCCTCTGCTGCCACAAACATACCGAGTATATTCACACCCACCTGTTCAGATTGCTAACTCACTGCAGCTGGTTATGTGAGCCCCCAGACTTAAGAGGGGCCCCCTTCACTTTCCCACTTGAATTTCTCTGGATAAAATATTCTCTGTGCCTGTTTTGATAGCCCAGGCATGTTCCTGGCTACACAGAAGGCACTTGCCAGGACAGTATAGCTATGTTTGCTCAAATCTGTCAGTTCCCACATCAGCAGAAGTTGTAGCATAGCATCCTCAAGATGGCTCTACCTCAGCTCACCATGGCCAGTTTTGATTCATGGGCACTTTTCAAGCACCAGTGCACAGTGCAGCCTCGGGATCAGCTAAGGGCAGCCTGCTTTTCTGACTTCAGGTTTTTCTGTACTAAATCTGTCCATTGTGTTTCTCAGGTTTCTTCTCTCAGCACTTTGAAGATGTTACTTTCTTCTTACCTTGTTTCTGACAATAAATCTTGTCATTATTGTTTTTTTTTTCTCTATACCTAGTGCTTTTTTTTCTGACAGCTTTTAGCTTTTCCTGTTTATCTCTAATTTTGAGAAATTTGATTATGGTATACCTTGATGTAGTTTTTCCATATCTTCTAGGTTTGGGATTCATTGAGTTTCTTAGGATCTAAGAGTTTATATTTTTTAGCAGACTTGTAAAATTGCTGAAAATTGCCAGGCATGATGGCACATGCCTATAATCCTAGTAGCTCAGGAGGCTGAGGCAGAAGGATCACAAATTCAAAGTCTCAGCATAAGTGAGGCCCTAAGCAACTCAGTGAGACCCTATCTCTAAATAAAATACAAAATAGGGCTGAGTATGTGGCTCAGTGGTTGAGGGCCTCTGAGTTCAATCCCTGGTACAAAAAAAATTACTGGAAATTATTTATTCACATACTTTTAATGGCCCTCTTTCTCTCTCCTTTCCTCTGGGGACTTCACTTATTATTACATATATTAGGCCACTTGACTTCATCTCACAATTCACTGAAACTCACCTTTCTTCTTTTTCTTGGATTTTTCACCTGTTTCAATTTAGAGAGAGTGTCAGTCAGCTTTCCATTGTTATGTCAAAATGCCCCAGATAACAACATAAAAGGAGGAAAAACTTATTTTGGCTCAGAGGTTTTAACCTTGGTCACTTGACCCCCTGGGTCTGTGGTGAAGCAGAACATCATGGCAGGGAGCACGTGTTAGAGGAACCTGCTCACCTCAAAGCATCTGGGAAGAGAGAGAAAGGGAAGGAGAGACAGGAGCTGGAGTCCCAATATCCCTCTTCAAAGGCAAGTCCCCAGTGACCTAACTTCCTTTAACTAGGCCTACTTCCTCCATATTGTGTCTAAAGTCTTTAGCATATGACTTTAAAAAAATTTTATACTTTATTTATTTTTATGTGGTGCTGAGAATCAAACCCAGAACCCTGCACGTGCAAGGCAAGTACTCCACCACTGAACCCCAGCCCCAGCCCCAGCACCAGCACATGACTTTTGGGAGACATTTAAGATTCAAACCACACAGCCAGATGATGCTAGTATGACTTCTGGTTGACTAATCTTTTCTTTTATCCTTTTGGATCTGTTCTTAATCCTATTACATATGTTCTTCATATTAGACATCACAATTTTCATTACTAGAAACTCACTTTGAATCTTTTTGTACCTTCCATGTCTCTACTTATTTACAAATGCAGTTAAAATAATTATAACTGTCCATGGCTGCTAACTTCAACATCTGTGTCCATTGTTAGTTAGTTTTAACAGGTAGTTTTTTCCATTATGCATCCACTTTACTGTTTCTTTGAATGACTGGGTGGTCTTTGTGTGAATGGTAGGCATTATGGATTCTCGTGATTGAGTACTGGATCTTTTTGAATTCCCATAAATATTACTGAACTTGGGGCTGAGGTTGTGGCTCAGTGGTGGAGCGCTTGCCTAGCATGCATGAGGCACTCAATTCGATTCTCAGCACCACATATAAATAAATAAAATAAAGATCCATTGATAACTTTAAAAAATATGTATTACTGAGCTTTGTTCTGGGATGAGTTATTTAGAAGTAGTTTATTCCTTCTGATCTTGCTTTTATGATATATCTGGCAGGACCAGAGAAGTGCTCTAAGATTAATTATTCTCCACCCTTGAGAAAAGACCTTCTTGAATATTCTACCAAGTGAATCCTGAGCTTTTCAAAATGACTGATGGGAACAGATCTTTTCCTGGCCCCGTGTGAACACAGGGCCTTGTTACCTACTCCTTCAGATGGTTTTCTACAGACCTTGGTATTTTTCTCACACACATGCAAACATCAGTTCTCAACTGAATATTTAGCTCTCTAATGGCCTCAAGAAAATTGATTTTATGGATTGTCTGGCTTTTCCTCACTGTAACTTTCCTTTCAACTGGGTACATCCCAAATGGTAGTAAAAATTCCCACCTAGTATTTTTAATTCATCTGAAATGTTACCTTCTTATGTCTTCCTAGATTGGAATGGTTCATCAATCACTGGCAGTTTTGTCAGAACTTCAGTCTGGTGGCCCTGTACTTTCCAATCATGACATTTATGATACTGGGTTGTAACAGCCTGTTAACTTGTGTTTACCTCTCCAGGTTTTAAATCCTAGAAATTCCTTTTCTGCCTGATTTCTCTCTACCTGGAACTGGAAATTGATTGAATGGAAAACTGCCTGTGTGATCTGTTCTTGAATTGTCTTTAGTGTCTCAAACTCTTCTGGTTTGGGATCATCTCCTGGTTTCCACTCAGAGGGTATATCTTCAGGAAGTGTTATTTGGTGCCCTCTATCCTGGTCCTCCTGTCCTGCCATAGCTCAGTTAGATTTTCCCCGTTTTCTTGGACACATTGGCCATCCAGATTAGGATTTGACAACATGGCCATGCCTCTTCCTCATGCTGGCCTGCCATGTTTGCACTTGAGGCCTGACCCATAGAGGTGGTTATGAGGTCATCACTTTGTCTGAATTCTCTTCCTCTGACTCAGGTACTTTGGGGTTCAGGCCTGTCTGTCCTTGTTTTGTACCTCCCTTGTAGAACTATTATGTGTTTCACAAAGGCCTTCTCATAGGAGGTGCTGAGGACCTTTGCTCTCACTGTACTTGCCAGGAGCCACATTCTTCCATCCAATACCTCCTTATCACACATGGCTTTAAATGTCCTGCTAGTGTTTCTATATCAGTGGGGTCAGTTTTTGCCAATGTGCTCATTTCACTACAGTACCACTCGTGACACTGGCTCAGAATCTATCAGCATTATGAAATCCAAAATATCTGACCTTTCACTTGGTGTTTTTTACAAATGCTACAGTGTCTTGAGTTCTCATTTTTCTTCTTAGGTTAGTAATTGATTTTTTTTTAAAGTTACCACTGTATTATTATTTGGAAATGTTAAAATCCAGGCATTTTTGAGCTGGGTTTTTACTTTAATTCCTTCGTCAGTGAGTTCTTTATCCCCTGCAGATTTCCTTATTTTTCTAACTATACATCTAGTGTTTCATTAGCATGTTTATACTTGCTTTTTAGTTCTTAGCTGGGTTGGAGTCCAACTTGCATTTTGTCATAGGTGGTAGCACTTTGATATGATTTGACTCCTGTGCCCTCATGTGTTCCTTGGCCCTCAGGCCATTGTTCTTGACAATCATGTAACTTTTTCTTCTTCCAGATCCCAGCCTTCTTTGGCTGGTGGCTGCCTGTTAATTCTTCTGGTTTCCACTTGGGAGGCGGGTTCTCAGGATACTCTGGCCTGTGGCATAGATCTCATTGCTCTACAGACTCCACCACACTTGTTTTGCCAGACTCTGGAGTTTTTGCCAGTCTGACAAAGGTAAACAACTATCTCATTGCGGTTTCATTTCATTATTTTAATTACGAATGAGGGCAAGCCTACATTCATGAGTACTGGTCATCAAAGATTTTTTCAATTACTTATCTATTTATCTCCTTTCCCTAATTTCCATTTATGGTTTGTCTTTTACTTATTAAAATGTAAAAGCTCTTTATTATAATATTAGTCTTCTGTTGACTTACATAAGTATCTTCTTTCAATCTATTTTTTTTTTATGTTGTAGTCTACATCTTCACCCAAATTTGTAGTCTTTATGGTTTGTACCTCCTAGTGGCTTGGTTCTTTATTTTGTTTGTTTTGTTTTGGAGACAGGGTCTCACAGTGTTGCCCAAGCTGATCTGGAATTCCTGGGTTCAAGCAATCCTCCCAACTCAGCTTCATGAGTAGCTAGGACCACAGGCATGTGCCACTATACCTGGTTTTCTGTGTTTTATTTGAGGAAAATTTCCTCGTACAGAGACTATAAATATTTTCAAATTATCTCTCCAAAGTTTTTTTTTTAAAACATTGGGTCTTTAGTTGCAGTGGAACTTGTTTTTACATTGGTATAAAGTAAAAGTCTGATTATTTTTTCCATTTGATTACTGCTTATTGTAACTATTGCTATCTTAAGAATTTGTGGTGATTTGTAACAGCTCTGTCATTCAATAATTTTGGTAAATGTGTGGGTCTGATTCTAGACTCTCAGTTCTGTGCCCTGCATGTATTTGTCTCTGTTCACACAATCTTGGCACACTGCAGTGTCACTGGAGATGTGAATCCCCACACATCCTCCACACAGCCCTGCCATGGCATTCCCCTCTCACTAGTGGCGGCCTTCTCATTCAGCATTTTATCCCCAAAAGCAGGCCTGGTGTCTGCTCATGACGGGTGCTCATATCATGGAAGGGAAAAGTAAAATCAGAGACTCAAGTCTTAGTTACAGAGTGCTAAATACAGAGTGCTAATGTGCCCTTGTGGGAGAAACCTTGTAAGGGAAAAGCATTAGTTCTTAAGATTCATATTGATTAGCTAAAGGGATTTTCTCTAGCAATGTATATATTCAATCAGTATTAATTATTTGTGTATGTGAAGAACTAGCATTTTCCATAATGGTTCACACATGGAAGGATTTTGATAATATCCTATATTAATTCTAGCTGAGAGTCTTCTTAACAATATTTTAAATAGTGAATACTCATTTAATAAAACACTTTTTATAATTTTGAGAAAATTTATTATTTTTTTTCAAAAGAATATGTTTAAAATAACTGATATTTTTAAAAAAATTTAAGTTCCCCATGAACAATTTATTATCACCTAAAGCTCCTAGGTATGAGTGACAGTTTAGTTTTAAGGGACATCTGGGGTTGTTTCCAGTTTCAGGATATTACAAATAAAACTGCTATGGAGATTGAGCTTTAAGTTTTTGTGTGAACTTAAGTCCTTTCTCTGGGATAAATGCCCATGAGTGCAACTGTTAGATCATATATTTTTAAATACATTGGTGAATTCTATATTCTGATATTTGTAAAGGATTTTTGTATTTATTCATGACTGATATTGTTCTGTATTTGGTTTGGGAATCAGGGTCATGAAGATTGGAAAATGGTCTTTCCTTTTGTGTTTTCTGGAAGATATTGTATAAATCCTCTAATGAAATCATATGGACATAGAAATTTCTTTTGTTTTTTAAGCATTTTTAATTGTAAATGGTCATAATACCTTTATTGTATTTATTTATTTTATCTGGTGTTGAGGATCAAACCCAGTGCCTCACACATATTAGGCAAGTAAGTGCCCTACCACTGAGCTACAACCCAGTCCCTAGAGATTTCCTTTTGGAGAGTTTTTAAATTATGAATTCAATTTCCTTAATTGTTAGAGGGTTGTTTATATTATCTATTTAATAATGGGTGAATTTTGTTAGCTTGTTTCTTTCTGAAGAATTGGTCCATTTTGTCTAAATGTGTAACTCATGGTATAATTGTTTAGAGCATTCCCTTATCCTTTTAGCGTCTGCAGAGTCTATAGTGATAGTTTCTATATAAATCCTGCTATCGATTACTTGTGACTTCGTTTTACTGAGAGCTTGTCAGTTTTATAAGTCTTTTCAAATAACCAGCTATTTGTTTCACTGATTTTTCTTTTTAAAAAAATATATAGTTGTCAATGGATCTTTATTTTATTTATTTGTACACGGTGCTGAGAATCGAACCAGGTGTCTCACACATGCTAGGCCAGCACTACCAGTGAGGCTCAACTCTATCCCATTTCACTGATTTTTCTATTCTTTTTTGTTTTCAATTTATTGGTTTCTGTTCTTTATTATTTCCTTTCTTCTGCTTGATTTGGGTTTGTTTTGCTTTCCTTTTTCTAGGCTCTTGAGGTGGGAGCTTAGACTATTGCTTTGAGACATTTTCTTTTCTATCATGTGTGCATTTTTAATGCTATAAAATTCCCTCTCAGGGGTCTGTGGTTGTGGCTCAGGGGAAGAGTACTTGCCTAGCATGTGTGAGGCACTGGGTTCAATTCCCAGCACCACATGTAAATAAATAAAGGTCCATTGACAACTAAAAAACGTTTTTAGAAAGTTTCCTCTCAGCACTGCTCTGGATGTTTCCCATTTTGATATGTTATATTTTCTCAAAGAAAAATCGCACCAGGCAAAAGTTAAATAGGCAAGGCAGAGTTTATTCAAGACTATTGTAATAAGAGAGAGAGATTGCACTCAACTCCAGATAACAGCAGGGGGCCTTGGGGACTTAGAGCCCACAGGCAGGGTGAGGGGTCAGTTCCTGGAAGATTGCTAAGAGGAACTTGGCTAACTACCAGTGGGAGGATTGTTGCTTAACTCAGCCAGGCTTTTCTGTGGCACTTGACTAGAGTAGTCAAGTGTTTGAAAGTTTTCCATCTTGCAAGCTGCCCTTTTCCTGGTCCTTGGACCAACTAGAGCAGGCTTTTTATTGTTTGTTTGTTTGTTGTTGTTGTCTTCTGTGGCCATTGGCTTCTCTAGCACCCAGACTAGGACAAAATAGGCACAAGGAAATTGTGGAATTCAGCTCTGTGTAATTCTTTGTGTCCTTCAGTCACTGGTCAATCTGCCTTCTGTCCACTTTTCAGAGTCTTCTAATGGTTGCTGTATATGCAGAGCCCAGGGTTTTAGTTGTACCTAACAGGAGAAAGTCTGTTTCTGCCACCTTCCTGGAAGCAGAAGTTTCTTTGGTAGAAGCTTTAACAGAACAAAAAGCTTGTAGCATAAGGATGATTTTGAAATATTTGCTGCTGTATGTTTTATTCCCAGTACCTTTTGTTACTGAGAGACTGTGAGCCATTGGGGCTGGGCCTGTTACTTCTCATGAGGGAGTACTGCTGAGAATGAAGGAGTCATGCTCGGCTCTGGCTTTCAACTAGAGCTTGTGAAAGAGCATAGTAGGAATAAGAAAGGAATGAGGTCAGGTGCACATGCCTCAAATCCCAGCTACTAGGAGGCTGAGACAGGAGGATGGCAAGTTCCAGGGCAACCTGGGCAACTTAGTGAGAACCTGTCTTAAAATAAAAACTAGAAGGGCTGGGGATGTAACTTGGTAGTAGAGCACCCATGGATGGGTTCAGTCCCGAGAAAAGAAAATAATCAGGCACTACCAATCTAAAAGTGTTCTGCTTTATATTTTTAGTCTTTATACATGGAGACTGAGACTGTGTTCCCAGCCTGGAAGCCTGGGGGAAGCAGTCTTCCAGGAGCACAATCCAGTGGGGCGGGCACGGGACAGTGGGACTAAAGTAGCTCTGTCCCACCAAGTCTCCTTGGACCCCCAGGGCATGGATGGAGCTGGAAGTTCCTGGGTCCGGAGCACCTCTGACTCAGAGCCTTGCATTTTCCCATTTTAACATTATAAAGGACCCACTTAGTAGACAGGATCTAGATCTGCTTCATGGGAAGGCCCACTTTTTAGAAATGGATGACATCTCCCTAGCTTGGGATTAGTGCCTAGAGGGAAGGCACAAAGCAGAGCACAGGACTGAACTTAGTGGGGCCTCTGAAAGGGCTCTGACCCCAGCCCCTCAGGGTAGAAACCTAGGGGTGGGTAGGGACAGTCAGTAGAGGGGCATACACCCCTCCACAGACCACCATACATGGAGACTGAGACTGTGTTCCCAGCCTGGAAGCCTGGGGGAAGCAGTCTTCCAGGAGCACAATCCAATGTGGAAGGCAGGGGACAGTGGGACTGAAGGAGCTCTGTCCCACCAAGTCTCCTTGGTCCCCCAGGGCATGGATAGAGCTGGAAGCTCCTGGGTCCAGAGCACCTCTGATGCGGAAATGAAAGCCCCCACGTGTCTGAGTCTCTTGTGACCCTAGAGTGGAGCTGTGACAGGTACAGCCAAGGTCAGGTCCACAGGCAGAGTGAGCAGAGCTGCAGAATATGGTGGTGATATCAGGGCCAGGACCAAGCTGGCAGAAGCACATCAGATGCTGGCCATGGTGCATTCAGACTGTAGTCTTGTTGTGGACTCTTCACCCATAGAAGCGAAGGAGGCAGGGAGCATGGATGGAAAGCAGCAGAGCCAGCAAGGGTCAGGGTAGCTCACGCTGGTGATATAGGACCTCCCCCTCCTGGTGGAGGAGGTTGTGTGGTTTCCCTGCCATATAGCTACTCAGGCACTCCTTTGGGAAGGAGGAGCATGAATGGAAGAATGATAGCCTGTAGGGTGGACGGCTGAGCTCTACTTCCCTCAAATGCCTGAACCAGCATTACAATGCTGTTAATCCACGTGTGCAATCAAGGACTTTCAGCTGAATGAATAGGAAACCAAACTCAAGCCGACTTCAACAGTTTAAGGGTATTTCTTACCTTTCCTGAGTTAGAAGTCTCAGGAAGGCTAGTCTCAGGCAAGGTTCATTCTGATTATCTAAATTATAGGGACTAGTCCAGCTTCTTTTTCCCCTTTTCTCAGTCCTCTCTGCCCCAAGGTATAAAGTCCTAGTAGATATTTGGTGT